TCATTCAGAAGTGGTATATAAAGACCAGTGGATCCTGAGTGGGTCTATCATTGGTAAGGGAGGCATAAAAAAGAGAAAGTACTTTGGAACTACTTGTCACGATCGTCGACAGATGAAGCGGACCAAGGCACAGCGTGAAAAGCGTACATTCTTTATTTGTGTACACAACACGAACCAAAACAATAAACAAACGATACGTGAAGTCCTAGGTTACAACACAAACCTTTCGGAACAAGATCCCACAAAATACTAGTGCCAAACAGGCTGCCTAAGTATGGTCCCCAATCAGAGACAACGAGCTACAGCTGTCTCTGATTGGGAACCACCCTGGCCAACATAGATATAAACGATCTAGAACAAAAGCATAGAAAATTTAACAGAAACTCCACACCCTGGCTCAACATTTAAGAGTTCCCCGAGCCAGGGCGTGACACTACTGAAATGTTGAATTACAGAAAATATAATAAAATACAATTGAAATAATTACTTGAAATAGTCATTACTCAAAATTGCTATTTCATTTAAATGAGAGATATGTCAATATTTGTCTCCACCTGGTTAGTGCCATTTGAAAAAGCCACTGTCCATTTCAATAAGTAATTATGTATAACCTTATTCAATCTGCCCTTGAATTAATTAATAAAGTTGTATTTAAGTCCCTCTTTTGTCCCAAAAGGTTTGTGTGGGGCTTCATATTGTCTCATGCCAAGCATAAAATTAATTAAATTGGATTTTAAAACTCTTAAAAGTCTATTTGAAATTAATCTAAATCAACATGTAGCCCATATTACCATTAAACAGTTCCTTCAGGATATTGAGTTGAGCTGTCTCTCAGCCATTTCCACCATTTGCTACTTGCCAGTAATCTTTGATATACAAATAACATAACAGGTATTCTTGGAATTGATACGGGCTGCCATGGGCTGAACTCACATCTACATTATATTACTGTAGTCTCTCATACTGTGCAGTACCCACTGTCACTAACAGGAACTGAGGGTTAAGAGCCTATTCACAATTTCATTATTTTTCTGTTCTCAAGCACAGAGATCCAAGTAAAGCCCATTATATTTCACGTGGACTATGGTGGAGGTAATATACCCAGATAGCATCTCTGAAGATTGCATGTTATGTACATGCAAATGTTCCACAGCTGAAGAACATTCCACCTTCTGGTTAGCTCCATAAGCCTGTTAACATCCTAGAACATCCTATCATCATTCTAGCATCCTAGAAAGCCTCAAAGTTCCAAGGTAAACAATCAGCTATACACCTAGCATTAGTGGAAAACATGAAAACGCAAGTTTCACATTTACTGTACTGTACCTACAGGACTATTAGTAAGATCGGGATTCAAATCTTACCTGTTCTTTATTGTTTGTTTGCTGTTTTAAAGTTACACTTGAGAGTTTAACACTAGAAGCGCAGATGCAGTCCTTTTGACTGCATATGAATTTAAAATAGAAATATCTCTGCAATTTTTTAAGTCATGCAGCCCTCCATCCTTGACTTTTCCTAAAAAGTCTATTTAACAGAAATATGTTGTTAGAATTTCAATATCACAAACATAATTTGTGTTATAAGCAGTTTGAAGAGGACAGAGCAGATTCTGAGTTTTCCAAAACACTTACCTTTGCCAAATAACGCAAAGAAATTGAAGATATGAGCTCTATTTCAAAATATAACTTTTCCACGAATAACCGCTGTTCCTTTGTGCTCCACATGAGCACAGAGCAGCAGATCGCCTACAGTAAAATAAACTAATGACAATACTATTGTGTTCCTTGAAATATATATTTTTTCTTATTCTTATATTACCCAAGACCTTCATAAACACAACCAAAGGATTATTTTCCCAATAGCATATATTAAATGTATTTATTAGACTGTTAGAATGTTGCAGTAAAAATGTTTGCTAATTGACGTAGTAAGGGGCATAGCGAGGCCTGGCAGTTTAAGTGTTAAAAAGGGATATTGTTCTTAGAAAATGTAAATCTACTGTATAATACACTTAGAAAAAAATGAGTTCCAAAAGGGTTCTTTGGCTGTCCCCATAGGATAACTCTTTTTGGTTCCAGATAGAACCATTTTTGGTTCCAGGTAGAACCCTTTTTGGTTCCAGGTAGAACTCTTTTGCGTTCCATGTAGAACCCTCTGTGGAAAGGGTTCTACATGGAACTCAAAAGGGTTATACCTGGAACCAAAAATGGTTATTCAAAGGAACCTTTTTTTATAATCCACTCTGCTTTCTTTTATTTTCCAAGATTTCATGCCCACACACTAATCAGCCACACATCACAAGAGCGGTGCTAAATTACAGGCGCTGCTCAGTTTGAGCTTTCAAGACAAAAATAAACATTAAAGATGAGCCTCTGTACGCTGGTCTCACTGTGAGATAGAGTACATTAATCAACCCAGTGATTATCAAGCACATTTTTCTTGCAGAAAAACTTTTCTAGTTCTGTCCTCCTTCCATTATGCTGTTCATTATGTTTACAAGACTGCCAGCACTTTAAAGAGCAAACATTATTAATCTTGCCCATTGTTATCAGACACTGCTTTTGAAACTTATAGCAAAAGTCTACTTTTTGTTCTCCCTCCCTGAACTCATTTCATAAAGTACATCAGTCAGGGTTAATGGCTTTTGTAAAGTCTGAGTCCTTCGGAAAGCTGAAAACGACAACCTAATGGGCTTTATTGGCCTTTAATTCACATAGATGTCTGTCCAGAAATAAGGAAGCACATACCCGACTACGATGGTTTGAGAAGATGTCATTTTTGAGAACTCAACTGAGACTCTAGTCCTTGAGCTTTCGACAATGTCTTAAAGTATTTGTCCATTGTTCCATATTTTTTATGAAATATTACCTAAAATGTATTACACTATGAATGAAATAGATGTCCCTCCAAAACATTATAATTAATTATGTTAAAAAGCAGCTTTTCTCTGTACCCCTGCTTGGTCGGTTAGAAAACAACAGAGTGGTTTGGGTGTGTACTGGTAAAATAAAAAAATAAAAAAGAACTGATTTGACAGCTTAGCCAATGAGACGTGCATACCCTTGGTTATTCAAATTAGCTCCCACGTGGGGGCACTGGGGCAGACTGCCCGAGACCGGCTGCACCAAGTCAAATAGTAAGGATGGATTCAGGATTTGGAAACGCACAATGGAACTACTAGGGCCCTTTACTATAACAGCAATAAATACAGAGTGATTATTTCACAAGCGTGAGTCGTTTCTGTCCTTTGGTTTGTCACTATTCGTGAAGCCAGCTAGCTAGCTACTGCTTCCACCTATATCAGTCAACAACAGTTAACTGCTTCTAAACAGCCAGCAGGCCAACTCTTACAAACCGCATCATTTGAAATAGAAGTGACTGGCGAGAAAATTGTTGCATATGCTTTGTCCTTTTTCTGATACCAGCTGTGGATTGCTTAGCTTGCTACTGAGCCTGTGTCTCCCCTAGTCTCAAGAAGGATCCTAAGCACATTAGGCGACACTTGTGGGGGTCGTAGAGCAAATGGAGACCACCATCGTGGGAGTGGGAGTGGTAGTTAATAGTTTTATAGGTCAAACCGTTCAGACGCTATAGACGTTTTCGTGAGAAGACCGATTTTCGGGATGTCTCATGGTCTGACAAACACCGCTTTAGCTCTGTCACCTTTTAACGCAGATATCTCTAGCTTAAACTGATAGATTTTGATGGGGAATTTTTTATTATGTTACTTAGATTGACTCTAGTGGGTTAAGTACCTTACTGTGATTGTTTTCAATTAAAATGGTCAAAAAGAAACAAAAATAGCTTCTTAACAAAGAGCAATATCTCAAGCAACAATCTGGGAGTGGTCTGACTTGGGAGCGGAAAACTGAAAACTAGCTGTTATTGGCAGAGAGGTTTGGAACTCTCTGTCTTTAACTAATTTACCGCCTAGTGACATCACCAAGCAGGCCAAAACTCCATCCCACCAAAACAGGCTGAAATTTCAGGCAGTCTTTTCAAACAACTCTTATACTGAAAGGGCATTATCATAATTTTCACAATTTCACAGTATTATTCCAACCTCATAGTGTGGAAATACATATAAAACACAGGAAAATCTTTGACTGCACTGGGCCTTTAAGTGTATTCTCAACATGTGCAAAGTTTAGGAATACAGTTGAAGTCAGTCACTGATAGAGGCATGGTGGTGTCGCAGACATCTCAAAATGCTGTAAACCATAGAGGTTGTGAGTTCAAATCCCAGGTGAGGACATGTTGAATAATAATTACTGAATAAATAAACACAAAATCTAATGTATGTCAAAGTGAAAAATAAAATGTGTATAAAATAGAGTAAGTTGAAAACTAAGCTGTGAATAGATCAGTGGTTCACCATTCAGGGCCTTGATGGGCTTGGCAATAGTAACAAGGGGTGATGTGTAATGAAGCTAGGATGGCCATGCCCTGGGTAGAAAATTGTGTGCAGGGCTTCTACAGGAAGGGGGGGGGGGGGGGGGTGTTGTGTTAGGTTGTGTTATGTGAGACAAGTGTAACACCTACTGGTACTTAGCAGTACTACTGGAGGGGATGCTGATGCGATGCAGCACACTTGCAGTCGTTTTAGCTTGTGTCGCATGTTGGGGATATTATTGTGCAATTTAGAGTTTTCTGTAGAAGAGAGGAGGCTGGCAAATACAGAATAAAATATTATGCACTGCACACCTTTTCATCAGAATACAGGAAGTTGTTGGGTCAATATTGCTGTTGCCTCATCAAAACCAACTAAATGTAGTTATGACAACGACATTGAAACATTATACAAATGAATGTTCTTGGAACGTTCATTTCTCGTCATGCTGACTGATCCAAGAGTAATTTTTTTATATTGCCATCATTGTAAAGCAAGCCATGACAAGAACTTAGTGAGTGCATCATGGAAAAAGTTGTCACAAAAAGATCTAACTCTGTTAATGGGCAATGTGTCAACATGAAATATCCCACTATCGTCACAACAGGACATGGTAAGTACCTTCACCTCCAAAAAACGGATGCATAGGACACTTATTGAGCCACCAGCTGTCTCTCACTAGCTACCTTCTTCAAACAAACACCTCCTATGCTCTTTAGCATGGCTGAATCAGCAGCAGGTTGGCCATACACAGGCCAACAATCCCTGGAATCCTCTGTACATCTCAGACACAGGTCACATCAGTTATGTCCAATTCACCGGCCCTCTGCTTGGACCACTAATGTCACTTAGTAAGACAAACATGCCTAATGAGGCAAACAATTGGATTGCCACTTACCATTTGATTTCATTGAGTGACTTCTCTTTTTCGCTGACACTGGCAAAGACCACAGGCCCTTGTTCCGAGGCCCGTCTGCTCCAGGGGTATAAATGGGGGGAGGACCTGGTGTTCTGCCTCAACTAATTCTTCCCTTAGAACTTTTGCTACTCTTCTACAGAGCTTCTTCTTCACCATCACCAACTCCATAGGTAAGAGCTTGGGGGTCTATGTGTTTCTCTGAAGGATTGGGGAACGACAGTAGGGTTAGCGTGGTAGATCTTGGGGATATAGATGTTTTTGTTGAACAAATGTATTTCTATGTACTATGTACTTTGCTTCATCTAGTACCCAATAACGGTAGTTTTGTTGATGTAGGGATATGGTTTCTTTTAGAACATACTGAATGACAATATTACCACAGGATATGGGTCGTCAGCATTACACAAAATGAGTAATATCAATCCTAGAACTAGAATAGAGATTTTTCTCATATATTGCATGAAGCTCCCATAGTGTACTGTAAGCAGTGTGAACATCAAATCAAATCAAATTGTATTTGTCACATACACATGTTTAGTAGATGTTATTGCAGGTATAGAGGAATGCTTGTGTTCCTAGCTTCAACAGTGCAGTATATCTAACAATTCACAACAATACACACAACCTAAAAGTAAAAGAATGGAATTAAGGAATATATAAATATTAGAAATATTAGGATGAGCAGTGTCGGAGTGGCATAGACTAAAATACAGTAGAATAGAATACAGTATATACATATGAGATGAGTAAAGCAAAAATGTGTCAACATTATTAGTGACTAGTGTTTCATTATTAAAGTGGGCAGTGATTTCAAGTCTATGTATATGGGGCAGCAGCCTCTAAGGTGCAGGGTTACATAACCGGGTGGAAGCCGCCTAGTGATGGCTATTTAACAGTCTGACGGCCTTGAGATTGAAGCTGTTTTTCAGTCTCTCGGTCCCAGCTTTGATGCACCTGTACTGACCTCGCCTTCTGGATGATAGCGGGGTGAACAGGCAGTGGTTCGGGTGGTTGTTGTCCTTGATTATCTTTTTGGCCTTCCTGTGACATCGGGTGCTTTAGGTGTCCTGGAGAGCAGGTAGTTTGCCTCCGGTGATGCATTGGGCAGACCGCACCACCCTCTGGAGAGCCCTGCGGTTGCGGGCGGTGCAGTTGCCGTACCAGTCGGTGATACAGCCCGACAGGATGCGCTCAATTGTGCATCTGTAAAAGTTTGTGAGGGTTTTAGGTGCCAAGCCAAATTTCTTTAGCCTCCTGAGGTTGAAAAGGCGCTGTTGCGCCTTCTTCACCACACTGTCTGTGTGGGTGGACGATTTCAGATCGTCAGTGATGTGTACGCAGAGGAACTTGAAGCTATCCACCTGCGGTCCCGTCGATGTGAATAGGGGCGTGCTCCCTCTGCTGTTTCCTGAAGTCCACGATCAGCTCCTTTGTTTTGTCGACATTGAGGGAGAGGTTATTTTCCTGGCACCACACTCCCAGGGCCTTCACCTCCTACCTATTTCATTGTGTTTCCCTCCTCCAGCCCACCATCACCATGGCCTTCTGGCTCCAAGTTGCGTCTCTGCTGGTGCTGCTGGCCCTCTCCCCCGGGGCAGACGCTGCTGCTGCCCAGCACCTGTGTGGCTCTCACCTGGTGGACGCCCTCTATTTGGTGTGTGGAGAGAAAGGATTCTTTTACAACCCAAAGAGAGATGTGGATCCCCTTATAGGTAAGACACCTCTAGCACTGTCTGAATTCAAAGACTTCATAGCTGCTCGACTACTCAACTTGATCTAAGACCACAAGCTACAGTTGAAGTCAGAAGTTTACAAAAATCTTAGCCAAATACATTTAAACTCAGTTTTTCACAATTCCTGACATTTAATCCTAATACAAATTCCCTGTCTTAGGTCAGTTAGGATCATCACTTTATTTTAAGAATGTGAAATGTCAGAATAATAGTAGAGAGAATTATTTATTTCAGCTTTTATTTCTTTCATCACATTCCCAGTGGGTCAGACGTTTACATACACTCAATTAGTATTTGGTAGCATTGCCTTTAAATTGTTTAACTTGGGTCAAACGTTTCGGGTAGTCTTCCACAATGTTCCCACAATAAGTTGGGTGAATTTTGGCCCATTCTTCCTGACAGAGCTGGTGTAACTGAGTCAGGTTTGTAGGCCTCCTTGCTCGCACATGCTTTTTCAGTTCTGCCCACAAATGTTCAATAGGATTGAGGTCAGGGCTTTGTGATGGCCACTCCAATACCTTGACTTTGTTGTCCTTAAGCCATTTTGCCACAACTTTGGAAGTATGCTTGGGGTCACTGTCCATTTGGAAGACCCATTTGCGACCAAACTTTAACTTCCTGACTGATGTCTTGAGATATTGCTTCAATATATTCACATAATTTTCCTTCCTCATGATGCCATCTATTTTGTGAAATGCACCAGTCCCTCCTACAGCAAAGCACCCCCACAGCATGATGCTGCCACCCCCGTGCTTCATGGTTGGGATGGTGTTCTTCGGCTTGCAAGCCTTCCCATTTTTCCTCCAAACATAACGATGGTCATTATGGCCAAACAGTTCTATTTTTGTTTCATCAGACCAGAGGACATTTCTCCAAAAAGTACAATCTTTATCCCCATGAGCAGTTGCAAACCGTAGTCTGGCTTTTTTTTATGGCGATTTTGGAGCAGTGGCTTCTTCCTTCCTGAGTGGCCTTTTAGGTTATGTGGATATAGGACTCGTTTTACTGTGGATATAGATCATTTTGTACCTGTCTCCACTAGCATCTTCACAAGGTCCTTTGCTGTTGTTCTGGGATTGACTTGCACTTTTGGCACCAAAGTACGTTCATCTCTAGGAGACAGAACACGTCTCCTTCCTGAGCGGTATGACGGCTACGTGGTCCCATGGTGTTTATACTTGCGTACTATTGTTTGTACAGATGAACGTGGTTCCTTCAGGCGTTTGGAAATTGCTCCCAAGGATGAATCAGACTTGTGGAGGTCTAAAAAAAAGAAATTCTGAGGTCTTGGCTGATTTATTTTGATTTTCCCATGATGTCAAGCAAAGAGGCACTGAGTTTGAAGGTATGCCTTAAAATACATCCACAGGTACACCTCCAAATGACTCAAATGTTGTCAATTAGCCTATCAGAAGCTTCTAAATACATGACATCATGTTCTGGAATTTTCCAAGCTGTTTAAAGGCACAGTCAACTTAGTGTATGTAAAATTCTGTCCCACTGGAATTGTGATGCAGTGAATAATAAGTGAAATAATCTGTCTGTAAACAATTGTTGGAAAAATTACTTGTGTTATGCACAAAGTAGATGTCCTAACCAAATTGCCAAAACTATAGTTTGTTAAGAAGAAATTTGTGGAGTGGTTGAAAAACGAGTTTTAATGACTCCAACCTAAGTGTATGTAAACTTCCGACTTCAACTGTCCTTTCCTGTTTTTATGTGTGTAGAAATGACATTTAGGAAACTCATGGTCACTATGAAGAACAATGTTGTGGAACAATGTAGAACCTAAAAATATTTAAATGAATGTGAAGGCAATGATGAAACACAGGAAAAGGCATATACAGTAGTCCATACAACATACGCTGGTTTATGTTGTGATATAGCACTCACTCAATATATCTTTCTCCTCCTGCAGGGTTCCTCTCTCCAAAATCGGTCCAGGAGAACGAAGAGTACCCCTTCAAAGACGAGATGGAGATGATGGTAAAGCGAGGTATTGTAGAGCAGTGCTGTCACAAGCCCTGCAACATCTTCGACCTGCAGAACTACTGCAACTGAGGCCTGTCGCACTGCTTAGCCTGCTTTCACCAACTGCCACGCTCCAATTCTCAGAGACAGCATTTTGTCTCAAAGATTTGCAAACAAGAAATGCAAACAAGAAATGGTCTAGACATGTTTTATTTTCCCCAGAAAATAAAGTTATATGAAATTAGCAAGGACTTTGAGTTTTCCTTTTTTGAATGGCTACTATGACTTCTGTGCAATTTGTGGTTCTGAGTTTACGAAATCCTGGGTTCAAACCACATTATATTGTAAATGCATATTGTGGTAATGCAGACTTGTTCATGTCATGTCCTCTTAGTATCCTAGATTGTGTTACTATGCAGCTAAGAGCGGCCTTGCACAATGAACATTTTGTTCCTGTGACACTCTGGCTCTAGGACTTGTTTATGTGAGCTAGAGTGTATGTTGTTTTGTTGGGGATTTGGGTGTTTTTCTAGGTTGGTAGTTCTGTTGGGTGTATTTCTATGTTTGCAGGTCTATGGGTTGTATTTCTAGGTTGTTGTGTGTTGTTGTCATTGACTCCCAATCGGAGGTAACGAGTGTCAGCTGTCGGCTCGTTATCTCTGATTGGGAGCCATATTTATTCTGTATGTTTTCTTGTGGGCATTGTGGGTTATTGTTCCTGTTCCAGTGTTCTTAGTTCTGTCGGTGTCACAGAGGACTTCACGTATCGTCTGTTGTTTTGTTTTCTCGTGTGAGTACTTTATTTAATAAAAGTCATGTTCACTCGCAACGCTGCGCATTGGTCCGCTCCTTTAGACGATCGTGACAGAATAACCCACCTTAAAGGGACCAAGCAGCGCGTCCAGGAGCAAAGGGTCTGGACATGGATGGAACTGTTGGACGGTAAAGGGTCCTGGACTTGGGAGGAGATCCTGGATGGTATGGATCGCCGACCATGGAACGAGACGGTGGAGAGGCGACGGCGAGAGGAGCAACGGCATCGGCAGGGCCATCGTCGGAAGGACGAGAGGCAACCCCAAAAAGTTTTTTGGGGGGGGCACATGGCTTGGGCGACTGAGCAGCAGGAGGCTGCCACAAGGCAGATTCAGAAGGCTACCAGGTTAAGGGGGCTGACGGAGGCAGAGAAGGGACGGATTCAGGAGGCTACCAGGTTAAGGGGGCGACTGGGAAAGGCAGGGAAGGAAGGTGTAGAGGCACGGCGAGAGGTACTGGGGTGTGTAACCAGTCCGGTCCGGCCCGTTCCTAATCCCGAGGTACAGCCAGTAGTGTGTGTCCCCAGTACGGTACGGCCTGTTCCGGCCCCTCGCACTAAGTGTACGGTGCGCGTCGCCAGCCCAGCCCGGCCTGTTCCTGAGCCTCATACGAAGCCTACGGTGCGCGTCGCCAGCCCAGCCCGGCCTGTTCCTACTCCACGCACCAGGGATACGGTGCGCTTCGCCAGCCCGGCCCGGCCTGTTCCGGCCACTCGCACCAGGGATACGGTGCGCGTCGCCAGCCCAGCCCGGCCTGTTCCTACTCCACGCACCGGGGATACGGTGCGCTTCGCCAGCCCGGCCCGGCCTGTTCCGGCCTCTCGCACCAGAGATACGGTGCGCGTCGCCAGCCCAGCCCGGCCTGTTCCTGCTCTCCGCACTAGGCCTTATGTGCGTCCCCAGGGTCCAGCATGCCCTGTTGCTGCTCTCCGCACTAGGCCTTATGTGCGTCCCCAGGGCCAAGCATGCCCTGTTGCTTCTCCCCGCACTGGCCCTGAGATGCGTGTCCTCAGCCCGGTACCTCCAGTTCCGGCACCACGCATCAGGCCTACGGTGCGTCCCCAGGGCCAAGCATGCCCTGTTGCTTCTCCCCGCACTAGCCCTGAGATGCGTGTCCTCAGCCCGGTACCTCCAGTTCCGGCACCACGCACCAGGCCTACGGTGCGCCTCAGACGGCCAGAGTCTGCCGTCTGCCCAACGGGGCCTGAACTGTCCGTCTGCCCAACGCCGCCTGAACTGCCCGTCTGCCTAAAGCCTGCAAAGCCGCCCGTCTGCCATGAGCCATCAGAGCCGTCCGCCAGACCAGAGCCGCTAGAGCCTTCCGCCAGACAGGATCAGCCAGAGCCTTCTGCCAGACAGGATCAGCCAGAGCCTTCTGCCAGACAGGATCAGCCAGAGCCTTCTGCCAGACAGGATCAGCCAGAGCCTTCCGCCAGACAGGATCAGCCAGAGCCTTCTGCCAGACAGGATCAGCCAGAGCCTTCTGCCAGACAGGATCAGCCAGAGCCTTCTGCCAGACAGGATCAGCCAGAGCCTTCCGCCAGACAGGATCAGCCAGAGCCTTCCGCCAGCCATGAGCAGCCAGATCCGTCGGCCAGCCATGAGCAGCCAGATCCGTCGGCCAGCCATGAGCAGCCAGATCCGTCGGCCAGCCATGAGCAGCCAGATCCGTCAGCCAGCCATGAGCAGCCAGATCCGTCAGCCAGCCATGAGCAGCCAGATCCTTCAGCCTGCCATGAGCCGTCCAGCCAGGATCCGCCAGAGCCAGCCAGCCAGGATCCGCCCCTTAGCCAGGTGCTGTCCCTTAGCCCGGTGCTGCCCCTAAATCCAGGTGGAGTAAGTTGGAGGGTGGTCATGTGGAGGAGGCTAGGGAAGCGGGTGGTGACTAAGGTGGGGTGGGGACCACGACCAGGGCCAGAACCGCCACCGTGGACAGACGCCCACCCAGACCCTCCCCGAGACTGTATGCTGGTGCGCCCGGAGTGCGCACCTTTAGGGGGGGGTACTGTAACACTCTGGCTCCGGGACTTTTGTATTTGAGCCAGGGTGTATTGTGTTTTGTTGGGTTTTGGGTGATTCTCTATGTTGGTAGTTCTGTTGTGTGTGTTTCTAGGTTTGGTCATTGACTCCCAATCGGAGGTAACGAGTGTCAGCTGTCGGCTCGTTATCTCTGATTGGGAGCCATATTTATTCTGTATGTTTTCTTGTGGGCATTGTGGGTTATTGTTCCGTGTTTCAGTCGTTGTACTGTGGACTTCACGAGTCGTCTTTTGTTTTGTATTTCGGTGCTTTTTTCAATTAAAGTCATGTTCGTTCAACGCGCTGCGCTTTGGTCTCCTTCACTCCTAGACGATCGTGACAGAATAACCCACCAAAAAAGGACCAAGCAGCGCGTCCAGGAGCAAAGGGTCTGGACACAGGAGTTATGGACGCCTCCTAAGGATTTTTGGACATGGGAGGAGATTCGGGCTGGAAAGGGTCCTTGGGCACAACCGGAGGAATATCACCGCCCTCGTGAAGAGCTGGAGGCAGCCAAAGCCGAGAGGAGGTGGTACGAGGAGGCAGCGCGAAGGCGAGGCTGGAAGCCCGTGGAAGAGAGGCAACCCCAAGAAATTTTTGGGGGGGGGCACATGGCTTGGGCGACGGAGCAGCAGGAGGCTGCCACAAGGCAGAGTCAGAGGGCTGCCAGGTTAAGGGGGCTGACGGAGGCAGAGAAGGGACGGATTCAGTGGGCTACCAGGTCAAGGGGGCTACTGGGTAAAGCAGGGAAGGAAGGTGTTGAGGCACGGCGTGAGGTACTGGGGTGTGTAACCAGTTCGGTCCGGCCCGTTCCTAGTCCCGAGGTGCAGCCAGTAGTGTGTGTTCCCCGTACGGTACGGCCTGTTCCGGTCCCTCGCACTAAGTGTAAGGTGCGCGTCGCCAGTCCGGTTCGGCCTGTTCCTGCCATACGCACCAAGTATGCGGTGCGCGTCGCCAGCTCAGCCCGGCCTGTTCCTACTCCACGCACCAGGGATACGGTGCGCTTCGCCAGCCCAGCCCGGCCTGTTCCTACTCCACGCACCAGGGATACGGTGCGCTTCGCCAGCCCAGCCCGGCCTGTTCCTACTCCACGCACCAGGGATACGGTGCGCTTCGCCAGCCCGGCCCGGCCTGTTCCGGCCACTCGCACCAGGGATACGGTGCGCGTCGCCAGCCCAGCCCGGCCTGTTCCTGCTCTCCGCACTAGGCGTGAGGTGAGTCCCCAGGGTCCAGCATGCCCTGTTCCGGCTCCCCGCACTAGGCGTTATGGGAGTCCCCAGGGTCCAGCATGCCCTGTTCCGACTCCCCGCACTAGCCCTGAGATGCGTGTCCTCAGCCCGGTACCTCCAGTTCCGGCACCACGCATCAGGCCTACGGTGCGTCCCCAGGGTCCAGCATGCCCTGTTGCTTCTCCCCGCACTAGCCCTGAGATGCGTGTCCTCAGCCCGGTACCTCCAGTTCCGGCACCACGCACCAGGCCTACGGTGCGCCTCAGACGGCCAGAGTCTGCCGTCTGCCCAACGGGGCCTGAACTGTCCGTCTGCCCAACGCCGTCTGAACTGCCCGTCTGCCCAACGCCGTCTGAACTGCCCGTCTGCCCAACGGCGCCTGAACTGCCCGTCTGCCCAACGCCGTCTGAACTGCCCGTCTGTACTGAGCCTGCAAAGCCGCCCGTCTGCCATGAGCCTTCAGAGCCGTCCGCCAGACCGGAGCCGCTAGAGCTCTCCGCCAGACAGGATCAGCCAGAGCCTTCCGCCAGACAGGATCAGCCAGAGCCTTCCGCCAGACAGGATCAGCCAGAGCCTTCCGCCAGACAGGAGCAGCCAGAGCCTTCCGTCAGACCGGATCAGCCAGAGCCTTCCGCCAGACAGGAGCAGCCAGAGCCTTCCGCCAGACGGGATCAGCCAGAGCCTTCCGCCAGCCATGAGCAGCCAGATCCGTCAGCCAGCCATGAGCAGCCAGATCCGTCAGCCAGCCATGAGCAGCCAGATCCGTCATCCAGCCATGAGCCGTCCAGCCAGGATCCGCCAGAGCCGTCCAGCCAGGATCCGCCAGAGCCGTCCAGCCAGGACCCGCCAGAGCCAGCCAGCCAGGATCCGCCATTTAGTCAGGTGCTGCCCCTTAGCTCGGTGTTGCTCCGTATCCTGGTGCTGTCCCTTATCCTGGTGCTGTCCCTTATCCTGGTGCTGCCCCTTAGTCCGGTGCTGCCCCTTAGCCTGGTACTGCCCCTTAGTCCGGTACTGCCCCTTAGTCCGGTACTGCCCCGTAGTCCGGTGCTGCCCCTTAGTCCGGTGCCGCCCCTTAACCCAGTGGGGTTTAGTTGGGGGGTGGTAATGTGGAGGAGGCTAGGGAGGTTGGTGACTAAGGTGGGGTGGGGACCACGACCAGGGGCAGAACCGCCACCGTGGACAGACGCC